AGCAAAAAGGAGCACAGGCGCAAAGAGAGGGCACTGCCACGCAACACAGAATATTTTTCTGCTGTTGCGGTCTTTGTAGACTCCATTCTTCTAAATATCAACGAGACACAGAAACCGCATTTTCAAACAACAGCACAGCTGTTCACTCTTTTATGAACTGCCAAACCCAGCATACTTGGAATTTCGAATTCCTAATCAGTTTCTTATCAACGTACAATCAAGAGACCAAAGACCAACTTTTGGTTTTCACACCTCCAGACCCCACCGCACTTGCGGCATATATGGGAAGGGTGGGACGGCAAACTAAAAACTTCCTCTCGAGCCCTACTCGAAAGCTTATGACTAAACATAACAGCAATGGGAGCAAACCTCTTTACCAAAACGTCGTTAGGAAGCCTTTCGGTACACATTCTTTCCACAACCTCCTATCATGACGTAAAAAACAGAGGTGGGTGGGATTCAATCGTCACGAAGCTGACCGACGACCTCTCCGACGCGTGCTGGCTCCACAAACTGTCTCTTCCCGCCAAATCAGCATTTGCATCAATCGTGACGGAGGGCTTGCTTTGCCGGGAGCTCCTCCGCGTGCCGATGCTCCCAACAAGTGTGCCCAACCCGACGTCCTGCCCGCCCTGCTGCACCTCAGCCTTCCGGGAAATCACGCGGCCCATCTTCACAGCCAGGCGGCCAATCACCTCGCGGCACGCGTCCTTCTTGTCGCCTGCGTGCTTCGACGGCAGGGAGACACGCCAACGCTCAGCAAGCGCATGAAGCATCTTCCATCGCTGCTGCAGCGGTAGCGGGGCAAACATGTCCGTCATCAAAACGGCAAGAGGATTCCCACCAGCGCTTGAGAGCCCGTCCTTCGACGCCGACGACATAGAATAGGCATCACTCTCCGCATCCTCCAGGTCGTCAATCTCGCGGTCAAGCCGCAGTGCGGCGAAGGTGCGCCCGGGCACAGCGTTCAGCTGGTACATCTCCACAGGCACAGGCACACCGCGCAGCG